TGTGTTTTTACTTGTATTTCACGAGTGAGAGAGTGAGTCACTGAGAGAAAGAGGGTGGTTGGGTTTTATGGTAACCAGAAGGTGGTTGGAATCGGGATTAATGGTGGTTATGTGGAGGTTACTGTTTCAATTTAAAAGGTTGGGACCATGAATATTCATGAGTTTATTGTTTGCTGGGGATAGGGATGTGTAGAGGGTTTCTTTTGTTCTACACCAATGGGGCTGCAAATTTTAAGTTCGCTCAGAGAGAGAAAGGGAGGGTTGTGGAGGAGAGGGAGGGGTTGTGGATGAATTTCCAAACTTACCCGCATTTTTGACAGAAAATTTAACAGAGTTTGACGGAAGGACTACTGGTGCAACATAGCACCTAGTTGAGTGACCCCCGTAACTAATAATTGAATTGATGGACCAAAGTGTAACTACGGGTATAGTTGAGGGACCATTGCTGCGAATAACCCTTTTTTTAATAAAAAAAAATAGTACAGCCGCACGGCTATACACCGTGTTTTTTTTTTTTTTTAAAAACATAGATTGTTGACACGTGGCGCCTAATCGCTGGGGGTCCTTTTTTTATATTAAAAATAGTATAGCCGTACGACTATACTCAGTTTTTTTTTTTAAATGTATGGCCGCACGGCTATACTATTTTACACGTAGGCGCCCAGTCGCTATGCGGCTGCTCTGTGTTTTTTTTTGGGTAAATAGTATAGCCGTGCGGCTATAAGCGATAGAGGGTTGTTTTTAAAAAAAAAAAATTGTACAGCCGAACGGCTATACGCCGTGTTTTATTTTTTTCAAAAATAGACATTGTGTTGACACGTGGCACCTAATCGCTGGGGTCCTCTTTTTTATACTAAAAAATAGTATAGCCGTACGGATATACTATTTTACACGTAGGCGCCCAAGCGCTGTGTGGCTGATCTGTTTTTTTTTAGTAAATAGTATAGCCGTTCGGCTATAATCGATTTTTTTCTACAAGTTTTTAAAAAAATAGTTTAGCCGAGCGGCGTTACTGGTTTTTTAAAAATTGTCTTTAATAAATAGTATAGACGAGCAGCTATAGTCTTTTACATATATATGTACATACGTATTTTTCAATAATACATTCGTGTTGAATAAGAATAATTCTCACATATTATTGAATAAGAATAACATATGTTATAAAAATTATATTAAAATATCATATAGTGGAAGATTAATATCTACCTTGGATATGTTGAAACTAACAAATTAATATGTATAAGGTACAAACTAATGTAAATAAAAGGGTCCTTTATTTTTAAGTTTTTTTTTAATTCAATAGTATAGCTGGGCGGCTATACTTATTTTTGACACATGGCACTAATCAATAGAGGGTCTTATTTTTTTAATAAAAACTAGTACAGCCGCCCGGCTATACACCGGGTTTTTATTTTTTTCAAAAATAGACTGTTGTCACGTGGCGCCTAATCGCTGGGGGTCCTTTTTTTATATTAAAAATAGTATAGCCGTACGACTATACTTAGTTTTTTATTTTTATTTTTAAATGTATGGCCGCACGGCTATACTATTTTACACGTAGGCGCCCAGGAGCTGTGCGGCTGCTCTGTTTTTTTTTCGTCAATAGTATAGCCGTGCGGCTATAATGGATAGAGGGTTTTTTGTAATAAAAAAATAGTACAGCCGCACGGCTATACGTCGTGTTTTATTTTTTTCAAAAATAGACTTTGTGTTGACACGTGGCACCTAATCGCTGGGGTCCTCTTTTTTATACTAAAAAAAGTACAGCCGCACGGCTATACGTAGTTTTTTTTTTAAGGTCTAGCCGCACGGCTATACTATTTCACATGTAGGCGCCCAGGCGCTGTGCGGCTGATCTGTTTTTTTAGTAAATAGTATAGCCGTTCGGCTATAATCGATTTTTTTCTACTTGTTTTTAAAAAAATAGGATAGCCGAACGGCTTTACTGGTTTTTTTAAAATTGTCTTTAATAAATAGCATAGACGAGCAGCTATAGTCTTTTACATATATATGTACGTACGTATTTTTCAATAATACATTCGTGTTGAATAAGAATAATTCTCACAGTAAGAATAACATATGTTATAAAAATTATATTAAAATATCATATAGTGGAAGATTAATATCTACTTTGGATACGTTGAAACTAGCAAATTCATATCTATAAGGCAGAAACTAATGCAACTAGGGTCAATTTGGCATTGTTGTACTGTGAAAATAATCGCTATGAGAGAAAGCAATTTGGCATTTGGTAAACTTTTTGTTAAGTGTTGGTACTGATTTCCGCATAATTAGAAAATGATTACCGCATAATCATTAAACCCAGCGCCTCTTTGAAACTGATTCCTTCATAATCAGAAAATGAAAGTACCTCATTAGCTTTCCCTTATAACTTTGTCATAGCAATTTTTAACAATAAGTGACTTTCTTTTAGTTTACCAAACGGACTAGGCTTCCCAAATTTTAAAAAAAAAAATCACTTATCACCCCAAATAAGCAATGTCAAATGGACACTTACACGTTGCAACAACCGGGATTCGAACCCGGGATCTCCTGATTTGTAATCATGTTAAACTCAATAGGGATAATTTGTACCCAAATGATTTGGGACTATGTTCAACGTTGAGAGAATCAATTTTATTAATTGTTATTGTAGCTTAATGATCTGCTATACAAACTGAGGTAAAGAGTGCATATAATACAACATTTAAAATAATTTTAAAAAAAAATTAATCAGTTATCAGGATAACCCCCAACCCCATTTAGACTAGAGCTAAGGACACATTGAAAATTTGAAGTGCGCGTTTAACAGCTTCAGTGTCGATATCCTTTAATTGTCTGGTCTTGGATGAAACAATAACACAATTCTTCTTCTCTTCTGTGTTGGGAACAAATAGTTTCCCTTTCTCTTCAGAACCGAATAATGCAATGCTGCAAAACAATGACGTTTTCGAATAAATGAATTCGATGATATGGTGTATGTTTTGGAAGGAAACCGATTTGAAGCTCAAAATTCAATGGCAAATAAATAAGTGAATAACACAACAGATATGTGTTCAAGCAAGTGCTTATGTAATGTTAGCAAATTAGTCTTGCCATATGTGATTTACCAGGGTTTTTCGCGTGCGTTTGCAAGTTGGATAGCTGCAGTGTTAGTAGTTATTACACCAGCTGAGTCATTGATAAGGGCAGCAAGCTGAAGCAGAAAACAGAGAAGAAAAAATGAGTGAAAGTAAAGTGAAACCATTAGAATTTGAACATGCTTTGTGCTTTCAAGAGTGTCAATCCTGTCACCTCTGAAACAACCTTAACAGAAAAAGTCGAGCGCTACGCCATAAAGCTAGCTACAAAGCATGCTTTGAAATCGCTATTTAAAACACTGCTCTACATGGAGGATTGATATCACGAAACAAATGAGGTTTCTTGGGGGCAGTAGGAGAATAAGTGTCAAGATAGGCACAGAAAAATTATTTGTATGACACAGATGGTTCTCCTACCCACCCATATATTCACCATAATCACTCCAAAATTTCTCTTGCATGTCGTTTTTCCAAGTTCGGTTGTTTTTGCTCAACAATTGTTTCTTGGGAAATTAGCAAAGTTATCCATACCTGCCCAGGGGTTGTCATGAACACAATGCTGGTATCTTCTCCCACTACTTCCTCCACATTTTCCCTTTCTTTCTCATGTGGAATGACAAAAACTGGCCTAAATTCCCTGTTGAAACATAAAATATCAAATGCAATTCTACATTAATAACTTGCTGTCAACCTCCAACCATTGTTACAGAAAAAGAGTATATAAATATATAATATATAACTATTAAGTAAACATGCTAGCTAGTTCAATCTAAAATGCCTTAAAAGATCCATAAAATTTCATACCTTATACCACGAGCTATTGTAGCCCACACTTGGATGGGCAGTAAGCTATCAGCATCCCCCTTAGACTGCATTGAGGCTTTCGAATCCGATTCCAACCCATGAATCACAATATATTTTCCTTTATTTACACCTGCATTCTGATATTTGGACTCTACAACCTGCTTTAGCTTCTTTGAGATTGATACTTTAAGTGGGGGCAGAGGTTGCCGTGGCACATCCCGCACCGGTCTACCCAACCAATCAACCATCTGGTGATACCTGAATGGACAAACATGTGTGAATCTTCTAGATACAGAATCTAAAGGAAGTATCAAAATCATATCATAATATTTTTACCAATTCATGTTACTACTATCTTTGCTCAAAAGGAACATTCTCACTATTGTATTCCAGAGGTTTCTATATTTCCCAACAAGTATCAAAATAATCTGTGATATGTTGTAAACTCACATGTTATATCCGCCTTCAGAGAGATTCATGCTATTTGGTGTAAATGTTTCAGATAGAAACAATCCAGCTCCTGCAGCATTTACATTTGGATAAATATAGCTCACCCGTTCTCGGGCTGTTGTCATGAACAAGAATATTCCGTGTCCGATCCCTGCTAGCTTGGTTGATAAGATCATGTCATAATACCTATTCTGTAAAAACAGAGCAGTGTGTTACAAATTTTAATCAAGTAGTAATAATTATGAACTACAAATACATAATGCCACCAAGATTTAGCAGGATTCTTAAATTTGTAGTAGGCCTGTAATAATCTGTTTTTAGTGTACTTGAGTATGAAAGCCCCTTTAGTCGATCTTTAATTGGTCCAATGCCGCATTGCAGACAAAAAAGGAAATATCATTCTTGATGATAATCTTATTTTCTTAATTATCTGTGATTCAAGAAGAGAGAATCATTTGGCTGCAAAATATGAAAATCCTTTATCTGCTATCCAAGAAGCAAAACCACGTCTCCTTCGAGAAGCTGGAGTTTCTAACACGACACTGTAAGAGAACATCTCCAAAAAAATATTTCTTTGGAGAAGCTCCACCAAACAGAAAGAACCATGCCATATAACTACTCTTATAACAAACACAATTTGGCTACATTACCGATAAAAACTTTTAAACCTTGAAAAAATCGTGTTGCTGCTGTTGTAGCAAACTGATGAACATCTGCATTTTAGTTCATCTTAAATAAACTTAACATTGAATTGCACTGATTGAAAACTTTAACCATCAAATGAATCATATCTTTTTTTTAGTGAAAACAACTAATTCCTTTTTCAGCTTCCATTCATGCAAAAGCCCTCAATGCTCTCTCTGTTTTTTCTTCTCATTACAGTCCAATACCTCTTGGAGCACCTAACTTACACTAAGCATACCCAACCTATATTGGAGCACCACATTTTCCATTGAAACATGGTGGTATAACTGCAAACAAATAGAAGAAAGACTACCTCTTGGAGCACCTAACTTACACTAAGCATACCCAACCTATATTGGAGCACCACATTTTCCATTGAAACATGGTGGTATGACTGCAAACAAATAGAAGAAAGACAAAATTTTGGCAGGTATATGCAGAAAGAGCCTTAAACACTATATATCTTAATCAACATCACCCAGATAACATTCTATTTAAGCTCATCAATATCTATTCAACTGACCCAAAAAAGAAATTATCAACTTTTAGATATAAATCAATTACGAAAATAGTTTAAAAGAACAAGAACAAACCAACCTTAAGAAGTCCAACCATGTCAGTGTACTCAGCAGGCTCAGGAAAATGATCATCAGGATCATAGACATCAGCCCATCTCACATTCTTATTCAACTCATAAGCTTGCTTCCCTCTGGCAGACGCCACTACATCCACTTGCACACCCGGGTACCGATCCTTGATAAGCTGGATAACCGGAAAAAACAGCAAGTTCTCATATACACCACCAGAAACCACACAACAACACCTCCTAACATCCCCCCTCACTTTCAAAGCCAATGATGCAATTTCCACACTATACCCCATTGGGAACTTCAAGAACCCGTATGGATTATCCGGGTTTTCAGGCGGTCTGTCATCCTCTTCCTGCTTCCCCTCTGCAAAAAGAGAGCCATACCCCATGTCTGGGTCCTCTCCATCATCAAAAGGGTCACGCCAGGGGTTCTTCTTTTTGGCTTGTGTGTGAAGATTTTGCCTTTTTGTGCAATTGGGGTGGTCTGATGGGCTCAAAAATGAGAGCTTGGTGAAATGGGTTGAAGGGAATGAAGGTGTGTTGGTGAGAAATGGTGAGGGGGATTTGGGAAGCAGAGATGTTGTAGTGGCCATGAATTGTGGCTGCCAAGTTTCCTCTTTTTCTTTGTTTTTTGAATTATTGTTATGGGGAATTAGCAGGACCTATAAAACGTTGTGATTTTGTTGTGTGGAAGGTAGTTGGATAAGTTGGGTCCACTAGTTGGATGTGGGGGGTGTCATTCTTTCTTTTGGGCCCTCTCTGGACTGGAACGTGTTCGGAATTTTTTCGGAAATTTTCAGATTTCCCCGGAAACTTCCCAAATCCTCCGAACAACACCGATTTCTTATACTCTACATAATTTCTTCTCTGGTTCAAAAATTAGCAGAGCATCTCTTTCTAGTATGTTATTTCTCTTTTTTCTCTTTGGGTTTACTCGTATGTTATGTCACTTCCAATACCTACTTTGATGAAGAAACACAAGCCCAAGATTTGCGATATGTATTCTCTTAGGCCCATTTCGTTCGCGGAAAAGATTTGATGGAAAATAACTTCCCATATCTTTTTCAAGAGATGGGAAATGGAAAATTCATTTTCCATGTTTGGTAATTTTGGGAAAGTAAACAGGAAATACCACTTTATATTCCTTTCACATGTTTGGTTTGTGTAGGAATGTAAAATAAAATGGTGTTTAATTTTCCAATTGAGTAAATTGCCATGCACCCCCGAACTAGGACCCTAGTCGAACTTAACCCCCTGAATTAAAAACGGTCAATTTCACACCTGCCGTTAGATTGTAGCGGATTTCACCAAAATTCTGTTGATATTCACACGTGAGGCTCATGTGAAACAGAATTGGAGGGCAATATAGTCCTTAACCCCCTTCCCACCCAATCCTCATCTTCCCTGATTGCTTGGCCCTATTTAACACAATCAAAGAACCACAAACAATGTAAAAGACAAATCCAACACATGTGGGTATACAAGAGCTTGAGTTTTGAGGAGGACAAAATGGTCAAGAAAGAGAGAGAAGGAGAAAAAGTACCTGAGCTGGCAGTCGTATTTGGTTTTGGGTTTAGCCATTGATACCTTTTGTTTTCTCTCTGTAACTACACAAGCCATTGATGCTTGGTTTTGGACTATTACCAACAGATTCACACATTAAAATTCATTGCCCCACCATCGCCACGTTGTTCAGTCACAGTCGATTACTCCAACGTCTAAATCAATTTGGGTAAAAATGGTTTAATATTTTAAACAGCGTGAAGGTTGGGGGTTCTGTGGCTTGAGACGCATGACATCAGAGCTACTGTTGCCAAGGCGGTGCTGGCCAGAGCTGTCTGTGAGGGAGAGAATACAACTAGCGTTTTCTCTTACCCGGAGCAGCTTGTGGGTAAGGTTAGGACCTTTTCGGCTCTCTCTGGTCCTTTACCAGCCCTGTTACCAAGAAGGTCACGGCTTTCTCTGATCTGAAGTGATGATAATACTTGCAGTATCTTCATATAGTGTAATGATTTCGTTTTTGTATAGTAATATGCAGTACTTGTATTGTTGAATTATTTTCTCGGTTCTGTAATTTGGTTTTGAAGGATTAAATATTATGCACCCAAATTTACATGCTACTGGCCATGCCGAGCCGTATAGGCTTTAAATTTAGACCATAGATATCTTTTGAGGAACAAAGTTTTAGGAGATTGTGTGACCGAAAAGTAGAAATGTTTAACATGGAGCTGGTCAAAATCCTTCTTTTGCTTGCTGAAATCACCACCTGAGGCTGATTACATTCACTCAAGTTTTCCATGGAGCTGGTGGACTAACAAATGATCATCTCAATGGATCCTTCCCGTTTCAGGAGTGCCGACGCAGCAGAAGCACGTGAACAAGATCGCTGTTTCGAGTAACCGAAGAGAAAATGCTGGAGGAAGCTTAAGGATCCAACTTAGGACTAGAAAGCTATGAATAACTTGTTTTTCACAACGATAACTAATGAGGTCATTACATGTAAATTACTCCATTAGACTGGTCTAGCTCTTGTTCTCTATAGAAAATATATATTTGGGTCAGTTTTGTTTGCTCACAATTTATTAATGCAGTTGATTTTGTTTTCTTCCCCTCTTTTTTTCCCAGTTTCGCTCAACTGCCTCATTGTTTTCCCTTTTTCTTTTTGACTCAACGCAATGGTAGGTTCTGTCAAAGACAATGTTCTCTTTGAAAGCCTCCTCTGTCTAACATTGACCGAGAAACAAACACCGACTGTCGTAGATTTCAATTGGCAAAAGAATCTCACAGTAGTTGAGATCCTTCATCTGCTTTTTGTTTTTTTGGTCGAAAAAGATCCTTTATGAACTTAGTCGCACATCAACTATCTACACTCAATTCCGTTTTGGCAACTGAGCATCCTCTTTAGAGTGGATGCCAAATTTGGTAGGACATGTAAAAGAGAAGCAGCATTTGCAAGAATTTTTTGACAGAAAAACTGTTATGCATTGCAACTACAAAAAGTACATAATACAGTGTGTCACAGCTAAACGATCTAAGAGTTGTTTAATACATTTTCTTGGCCTCTTGAGTCTTGGCCATGCTTGAAGCAAGAATGAAATGATCGATTTCCAGAGCTACAAAAGCCGGTTTCCAGATCAATGCCTAGCTGAATCGATAGCCAGGCACTGCAGTTTATATAAGCTGAAACTCGGAGTCCAAGTATGGAAGAAATCTAGGCCCTAATTGAAGTGAATTCAAAAGTTGTCCTCTTTTCCAATGTTGTATTTACATATACACCTAATCTTCAAAAACCAGTCTGACCAAGTGAAAACCAATTCTCTTAATTGACTTCCACCATTCCTTTTCAGTAAGAATTATGTTGAAGTATTCTTCCTGAAATGGCTGCTGCTAGTGCTTTCGTGAAATCGGGATCTTTTGTCAAGGAAGAAGCCATCTGCTCCACCAAAAACTTTCGAACTTCCGGTGTTTCGGTTCTTGTTTTTATACTTTTAGTATCAGCACTGGACTTGGATTTGGTCAAGTCAAGAGTGATGGTAGGTCCAGATGAGGCAAGGGAGGTTGAGCAGGGGACTGATCCTAAGGTCATGCTGCGGTTTGAGCCTGATGTTGCTTCAATTTGAGAAGGGTGGGAATGATTGTGTTCACCTTCATAAGTTGCCACCAGAATAGATTGGTCTTCAACACTTCTCTGCACCTGAAGAGCAAAAACCATGGACAAGAAGAACCTTTAATTAATATGCCACTTAAAAGGGGGAAAAAACTGAACAGAAATCCTGCTCTTAAAACCAATTAATTCTTCTGTATACATAATAAGTTTTGAAGCATTAAGAGGGGGAAGGTTTTGAATTTGGGCTCACCTTCTTTTTGACAGGGCAGCTTGGAGCAAAAGAGCATTTGAAGTAAGCTCTAGGACAAGGATTATCCCTAGTAACTTTTTGGCCATATTTTCTCCATTGATATCCATCCTTCACAACCTATAAATACACAAAAAAATTGCTCAATACAAACCTTAAATTATTAACTAAACCAACAAGAACATTCCTCAGTGACATTGTATAAGACATGGATTAAGGACTAATTACTTACCAGGCTTGTTGTATCTGATGCTTCGGTACGAACATAAGCCCTTGAAATCTTTGCCTTGATGGTCTCTTCCCTTGGTTTCTTGCAAGATTCTCCATCACTGGAGCTGCTCTCAGAGTTTCCATTCACTGCTCCATTGATGATATTGTTGCTGTTGGTGTTGTTGTTGTTACTGCTTTCAGACTTTCTTTTCTTTGAAATTGGGCTAAGCTCCTTCTCTGGGTTCTTGCTCATGTAATCCAGTAACTGGCTTCTTAAAGAATTGTAGCTCTCACCCATCACCGTCAACATTTCGGTTAGCTTCTTGTTCTCTGCACTCACCCGTTGCAATTCCTCCAATAGAGCACCACTCTGAGAACAAAATTAACAAACTCTTTAGACATGCAATCCAATAGTTAATAAATCATTTGATATTTAATGTTTCATATTTAGTACTTTAATCATCCTAATTTGTAAGACGTCTGTCGAAGATTTGGGCGCTTTCGATCCAATATGATAATAGCTTGAAAAATATGCTCCTAGACACATTAAATCCTAGTTCAAGGCCTTCATTGATATAGCGACAAAACAGAAGATAGAGAAGCTAAGGTGGAGAAAGAATTGAAAACAAACCTCTTCATTTGCTGAAAGCTGCCTCCCAAAGTCAATCAATATTTTGCTATGCACGTCTTTCTTGATCTGAAAACAACCAATCAACTTCTGTAAGTTAAAAGATAACTATCTAGTAGAGAGAGAGAGAGAGAGAGAGAGAGAGAGAGAGAGAGAGAGAGAGAGAGAGAGAGAGAGAGAGAGAGAGAGAGAGAGAGAGAGAGAGAGAGAGAGAGAGAGAGAAAGAGCTTAGTTCTCTAGATACATAAAGTTTGCACCTACCGGAGTATCATCGAAAAGTCGGAGAGGCTTGGTATTAAGATCCAAAGAAGTATCATCATATGCAGCAGATGAGTAGTCCATATCCTTTTGAAAACAACACTTGAATTCTTGTTTTCCAGAAATCCTCAACAGCAAGCAGGCAAATCTCTCACCACCAAGTATATTATATATATGACTCCTGAATTTGACTTTGAAGAAGAAGAAGAAATAATAAAATCACAAGGCAGAAGACTCCTTCACCAAAATCTTGACCAAACTTGGGTGGATGAAGCAAATATATAGAACCAGAAAGGAAGCTGGGAAGAAAGAGAATGAAAGATAAAGATATAAACGAGTAGTCTCAGTGAAGAGCTGGCATGAGCTTTTAGTTCCATATATATACTAATATATATTTATTATAATAATAAAATAGTGCCAAGAGACTGGCCTGGAGTTGGTGTGCTGTGCTGTTTGTATACAGAGGAATATTATAAAGACTGCAAGTTGTACGACATGTCGGTCGTGAGCGTTGAATTTCTTGGGTAGAAGATGTGAAAAGTCAAGCACGCCATATCAAATTAAATAAATAAAATCATTTGAATTGTGTTATGGATTTAATTTCTTTTTCAGCAAATGAAAGAATAGAAAGGGGAACATATAGAAGTTCTATATTGACCCGACGCTGTCTCTGTCATGTGTATTAACTTTTGTAATTTTATTTTATTTTATTATAGTGGGGTAATTGTTGGGCGTGGGGGGGTCTTTGCTTTACTTTTCTGTCACGTTTTCCAGATTGAAACATTTTCCACGTTCCATGAAATGAAAACCATGTATTATTTTTACATTGGATAACAGTGTATATTCTACGTTTTGTTTGCCGAGTCCAAAGCTGTCAACGCGGTTGTAGAATTCCCAGATGAATGATATGACAGAAACGAACTTCATTCATCACTACATTAG